TGGAGTGTCTTCCTGGTGTGGCATGGTGGAGTGTCTTCCTGGTGTGGCATGGTGAAGTGTGTTCCTGGTGTGGCATGGTGGAGTGTCTTCCTGGTGTGGCATGGTGGAGTGTCTTCCTGGTGTGGCATGGTGGAGTGTCTTCCTGGTGTGGCATGGTGGAGTGTCTTCCTGGTGTGGCATGGTGAAGTGTGTTCCTGGTGTGGCATGGTGAAGTGTGTTCCTGGTGTGGCATGGTGGAGTGTCTTCCTGGTGTGGCATGGTGGAGTGTCTTCCTGGTGTGGCATGGTGGAGTGTCTTCCTGGTGTGGTGAATTGTCTTCATGGTGTGGCATGGTGAAGTGTGTTCCTGGTGTGGCATGGTGAAGTGTGTTCCTGGTGTGGCATGGTGGAGTGTCTTCCTGGTGTGGCATGGTGGAGTGTGTTCCTGGTGTGGCATGGTGAAGTGTGTTCCTGGTGTGGCATGGTGGAGTGTGTTCCTGGTGTGGCATGGTGAAGTGTGTTCCTGGTGTGGCATGTTGGAGTGTGTTCCTGGTGTGGCATGGTGAAGTGTCTTCCTGGTGTGGCATGGTGGAGTGTCTTCCTGGTGTGGTGAATTGTCTTCCTGGTGTGGCATGGTGAAGTGTCTTCTTGGTGTGGCATGGTGAAGTGTCTTCCTAGTGTGGCATGGTGAAGTGTCTTCCTGGTGTGGCATGGTGAAGTGTCTTCCTGGTGTGGTGAAGTGTCTTCCTGGTGTGGCATGGTGAAGTGTCTTCCTGGTGTGGCATGGTGAATTGTCTTCCTGGTGTGGCATGGTGGAGTGTCTTCCTGGTGTGGCATGGTGAATTGTCTTCCTGGTGTGGCATGGTGAGGTGTCTTCCTGGTGTGGCATGGTGGAGTGTCTTCCTGGTGTGGCATGGTGGAGTGTCTTCCTGGTATGGTGAATTGTCTTTCTGGTGTTCCATGGTGAAGTGTCTTCCTGGTGTGGTGAAGTGTCTTCCTGGTGTGGTGAAGTGTCTTTCTGGTGTGATGAAGTGTCTTCCTGGTGTGGCATGGTGAAGTGTCTTCCTGGTGTGGCATGGTGAAGTGTCTTCCTGGTGTGGCATGGTGAAGTGTCTTCCTGGTGTGGTGAAGTGTCTTCCTGGTGTGGCATGGTAAAGTGTCTTCCTTATGTGGTGAAGTGTCTTCCTGGTGTGGCATGGTGAAGTGTCTTCCTGGTGTGGTGAAGTGTCTTCCTGGTGTGGCATGGTGAGGTGTCTTTCTGGTGTGGCATGGTGAAGTGTCTTCTTGGTGTGGCATGGTGAAGTGTCTTCCTGGTGTGGCATTGCGAGGTGTCTTCCTGGTGTGGTGAAGTGTCTTCCTGGTGTGGTGAAGTGTCTTCCTGGTGTGGTGAAGTGTCTTCCTGGTGTGGTGAAGTGTCTTCCTGGTGTGGTGAAGTATCTTCCTGGTGTGGTGAAGTGTCTTCCTGGTGTGGTGAAGTATCTTCCTGGTGTGGCATGGTGAAGTGTCTTCCTGGTGTGGCATGGTGAAGTGTCTTCCTGGTGTGGTGAAGTGTCTTCCTGGTGTGGTGAAGTGTCTTCCTGGTGTGGTGAAGTATCTTCCTGGTGTGGCATGGTGAAGTGTCTTCCTGGTGTGGCATTGCGAGGTGTCTTCCTGGTGTGGCATGGTGAAGTGTCTTCCTGGTGTGGCATGGTGAAGTGTCTTCCTGGTGTGGCATGGTGAAGTGTCTTCCTGGTGTGGTGAAGTGTCTTCCTGGTGTGGCATGGTGAGGTGTCTTTCTGGTGTGGCATGGTGAAGTGTCTTCTTGGTGTGGCATGGTGAAGTGTCTTCCTGGTGTGGCATGGTGGTGTCTTCCTTGTGTGGCATGGTAAGGTCTTCTTGTGTAAAATCTTGTGAGGTTAAATTTTTTTTTTAACAGAATCTAGTTTAGTAATATCTCACATTTAGAACCGGATGGTCACCAACGTTAATCACTTGTAGCCTACTACAATACATAATTTCAATTATAGTTGCTGCTGCATGGGTTCTATTAATGTACACAACATTTAAGATATTTGGTATGTGGGTGTATTATGTTCATAACATGTTGGTTATTATTTCACGGATTTTACGATGGTGCATACACCAAGAGCAGCGGACAAGTCGATAAACTCAGCCACAAACCTAGAGAAGGTAGCTAATTCTAGAAATAGGAAATTGATCTCATAGACAACCCAAAATAGAACATAAACCTGATTCAAGCGAGAGTATTACTTGCATTCACTTTTGATATAACTCTAGGTGAAGCATCAACCTAACCCCAGAGACAGCATTGCTTACATTTAGCTCAAATATAACCCGAGGTAAAGGAGGAACCAAATCACAGAGACAGCATTGCTTACATTGAGCTTAAACATAACCTGAGGTAAAGGAGGAACCCAGTCACAGAGACAACATTGCTTACATTGAGCTCAAACATAATCTGAGGTAAAGGAGGAACCTAATCACAGAGACAGCATTGCTTACATTGAGCTCAAACATAACCCGAGGTAAAGGAGGAACCCAGTCACAGAGACAACATTGCTTACATTGAGCTCAAACATAATCTGAGGTAAAGGAGGAACCTAATCACAGAGACAGCATTGCTTACATTGAGCTCAAACATAATCTGAGGTAAAGGAGGAACCTAATCACAGAGACAGCATTGCTTACATTGAGCTCAAACATAACCCGAGGTAAAGGAGGAACCAAATCACAGAGACAACATTGCTTACATTGAGCTCAAACATAACCCGAGGTAAAGGAGGAACCCAGTCACAGAGACAACATTGCTTACATTGAGCTCAAAGGCCGCTATACCAATCACAGAGACAGCATTGGTTACATTGAGCTCAAAGGCCGCTATACCAATCACAGAGACAGCATTGCTTACATTGAGCTCAAAGGCAGCTATACCAATCACAGAGACAACATTGCTTACATTGAGCTCAAAGGCCGCTATACCAATCACAGAGACAACATTGCTTACATTGAGCTCAAAGGTCGCTATATCAATCACAGAGACAACATTGCTTACATTGAGCTCAAAGGCCGCTATACCAATCACAGAGACAAAATTGCTTACATTGAGCTCAAACATAACCTGAGGTTAAGGAGGAACCCAATCACAGAGACAACATTGCTTACATTGAGCTCAAAGGCAGCTATACCAATCACAGAGACAACATTGCTTACATCGAGCTCAAACATAACCTGAGGTTAAGGAGGAACCCAGTCACAGAGACAGCATTGCTTACACTGAGCTCAAAGGCAGCTATACCAATCACAGAGACAACATTGCTTACATCGAGCTCAAACATAACCTGAGGTTAAGGAGGAACCCAGTCACAGAGACAACATTGCTTACATTGAGCTCAAAGGCAGCTATACCAGTCACAGAGACAACATTGCTCACATTGAGCTCAAAGGCCGCTATACCAATCACAGAGACAACATTGCTTACATTGAGCTCAAAGGCCGCTATACCCATCACAGAGACAACATTGCTTACATTGAGCTCAAAGGCAGCTATACCAATCACAGAGACAACATTGCTTACATTGAGCTCAAAGGCAGCTATACCAATCACAGAGACAAGATTGCTTACATTGAGCTCAAACATAACCCGAGGTAAAGGAGGAACCCAGTCACAGAGACAACATTGCTTACATTGAGCTCAAAGGCCGCTATACCAATCACAGAGACAACATTGCTTACATTGAGCTCAAACATAACCCGAGGTAAAGGAGGAACCCAGTCACAGAGACAAGATTGCTTACATTGAGCTCAAAGGCCGCTATACCAATCACAGAGACAACATTGCTTACATTGAGCTCAAAGGCCGCTATACCAATAACAGAGACAGCATTGCTTACATTGAGCTCAAAGGCAGCTATACCAATCACAGAGACAACATTGCTTACATTGAGCTCAAACATAACCCGAGGTAAAGGAGGAACCCAGTCACAGAGACAAGATTGCTTACATTGAGCTCAAAGGCAGCTATACCAGTCACAGAGACAGCATTGCTTACATTGAGCTCAAAGGCAGCTATACCAATCACAGAGACAACATTGCTTACATTGAGCTCAAAGGCCGCTATACCAATCACAGAGACAACATTGCTTACATTGAGCTCAAAGGCAGCTATACCATTCACAGAGACAGCATTGCTTACATTGAGCTCAAAGGCAGCTATACCAGTCACAGAGACAGCATTGCTTACATTGAGCTAAAAGGCAGCTATACCAGTCACAGAGACAGCATTGCTTACATTGAGCTCAAAGGCAGCTATACCAGTCACAGAGACAGCATTGCTTACATTGAGCTCAAAGGCAGCTATACCAGTCACAGAGACAGCATTGCTTACATTGAGCTCAAAGGCAGCTATACCAATCACAGAGACAACATTGATTACATTGAGCTCAAAGGCAGCTATACCAATCACAGAGATAACATTGCTTACATTGAGCTCAAAGGCAGCTATACCAATCACAGAGATAACATTGCTTACATTGAGCTCAAAGGCAGCTATACCAATCACAGAGATAACATTGCTTACATTGAGCTCAAAGGCCGATATACCAATCACAGAGACAACATTACTTACATTGAGCTCAAAGGCAGCTATACCAGTCACAGAGACAACATTGCTTACATTGAGCTCAAAGGCCGATATACCAATCACAGAGACAACATTACTTACATTGAGCTCAAAGGCAGCTATACCAATCACAGAGACAACATTGCTTACATTGAGCTCAAAGGCAGCTATACCAATCACAGAGACAACATTGCTTACATTGAGCTCAAACATAAACCGAGGTAAAGGAGGAACCCAGTCACAGAGACAAGATTGCTTACATTGAGCTCAAAGGCAGCTATACCAATCACAGAGACAACATTGCTTACATTGAGCTCAAAGGCCGCTATACCAATAACAGAGACAACATTGCTTACATTGAGCTCAAAGGCCGCTATACCAATCACAGAGACAACATTGCTTACATTCAGCTCAAAGGCAGCTATACCAATGCCTGTAGCAGCTCCAGAACCAGCCAGCCCTACAAAATGGCCTGATCCAATATTGCTGGCAAACAGGGAAGCTCCCACCTGCAACAAGAATAGTCAGCATCTGATAGTTACAGGCGCTACAATAACATCCCACCTGCAACAAAAACAGTCAGCATCTTATAGTTACAGGCGCTACAATAACATGAGTTACAGTAACACTGATTATAGTAACATGAGTGACAGAAACAGAAGTCACATTAACATGCTTTATAATAACATGAATTATACTAATGAGAGTTATACAAATATGAGTTATAGTTACATTAGTCACAGTAACATGAGTTATAGTTGCATAAGTTAAAATTACATGAGTTATAGTTACATGTGTTATAGTTTTATATGTGATAGTCACATGAGTTATAGTTACATGAGTTATAGTTACGTGAGTTATAGTTACATGAGTTATAGTTTTATATGTGAAAGTCACATGAGTTATAGCTACATGAGTTATAGTTACATAAGTTAAAATTACATGAGTTATAGTTACGTGAGTTATAGTTACATGAGTTATAGTTTTATATGTGATAGTCACATTAGATATAGCTACATGAGTTATAGTTACATAAGTTAAAATTACAGGAGTTATAGTTACATGAGTTATAGTTACATAAGTTAAAATTACATGAGTTACAGTTACATGAGTTATAGTTTTATATGTGATAGTCACATAAGTTATAGTTACATGAGTTATAGTTTTATATGTGATAGTCACATGAGTTATAGTTACATGAGTTATAGTCACATAAGTTAAAATTACATGAGTTATAGTTACATGAGTTATAGTTTTATATGTGATAGTCACATGAGTTATAGTTACATGAGTTATAGTTACACGAGTTATAGTTTTATATGTGATAGTCACATGAGTTATAGCTACATGAGTTATAGTTACATAAGTTTAAATTACATAAGTTAAAATTACATGAGTTATAGTTACATAAGTTATAGTTTTATATGTGATAGTCACATGAGTTATAGTTACGTGAGTTATAGTTACATAAATTAAAATTACATGAGTTATAGTTACATGAGTTATAGTTACACGAGTTATAGTTACGTGAGTTATAGTTACATGAGTTATAGTTTTATATGTGATAGTCACATGAGTTATAGCTACATGAGTTTTAGTTACATAAGTTAAAATTACATGAGTTATAGCTACATGAGTTATAGTCACATGAGTTATAGCTACATGAGTTATAGTTACGTGAGTTATAGTTACATGAGTTATAGTTTTATATGTGATAGTCACATGAGTTATAGCTACATGAGTTATAATTACGTGAGTTATAATTACATGAGTTATAGTTTTATATGTGATAGTCACATGAGTTATAGCTACAGGAGTTATAGTTACATGAGTTATAGTTTTTTATGTGATAGTCACATGAGTTATAGTTACGTGAGTTATAGTTACATGAGTTATAGTTACATGAGTTATAGTTACATGGGTTATAATTACATGAGTTATAGTTTTATATGTGATAGTCACATGAGTTATAGCTACGTGAGTTATAGTTACATGAGTTATAGTTTTATATGTGATAGTCACATGAGTTATAGCTCCATGAGTTATAGTTACGTGAGTTATAGTTACATGAGTTATAGTTACATGAGTTATAGTTTTATATGTGATAGTCACATGAGTTATAGTTACGTGAGTTATAGTTTTATATGTGATTGTCACATGAGTTATAGTTACATGAGTTATAGTTTTATATGTGATAGTCACATGAGTTATAGTTACGTGAGTTATAGTTTTATATGTGATAGTCACATGAGTTATAGTTACATGAGTTATAGTTACATGAGTTATAGTTTTATATGTGATAGTCACATGAGTTATAGCTACATGAGTTATAGTTACATAAGTTAAAATTACATGAGTTATAGTTACGTGAGTTATAGTTACATGAGTTATAGTTTTATATGTAATAGTCACATGAGTTATAGTTACGTGAGTTATAGTTACATGAGTTATAGTTTTATATGTGACAGTCACATGAGTTATAGCTACATGAGTTATAGTTACGTGAGTTATAGTTACATGAGTTGTAGTTACATGAGTTATAGTTTTATATGTGATAGTCACATTAGATATAGCTACATGAGTTATAGTTACATAAGTTAAAATTACAGGAGTTATAGTTACATGAGTTATAGTTTTATATGTGATAGTCACATAAGTTATAGTTACATGAGTTATAGTTTTATATGTGATAGTCACATGAGTTATAGTTACATGAGTTATAGTTACATAAGTTAAAATTACATGAGTTATAGTTACATGAGTTATAGTTTTATATGTGATAGTCACATGAGTTATAGTTACATGAGTTATAGTTACACGAGTTATAGTTTTATATGTGATAGTCACATGAGTTATAGCTACATGAGTTATAGTTACATAAGTTTAAATTACATAAGTTAAAATTACATGAGTTATAGTTACATGAGTTATAGTTACATAAGTTATAGTTTTATATGTGATAGTCACATGAGTTATAGTTACGTGAGTTATAGTTACATAAGTTAAAATTACATGAGTTATAGTTACATGAGTTATAGTTACATGAGTTATAGTTACGTGAGTTATAGTTACATGAGTTATAGTTTTATATGTGATAGTCACATGAGTTATAGCTACATGAGTTATAGTTACATAAGTTAAAATTACATGAGTTATAGCTACATCAGTTATAGTCACATGAGTTATAGCTACATGAGTTATAGTTACGTGAGTTATAGTTACATGAGTTATAGTTTTATATGTGATAGTCACATGAGTTATAGTTACATGAGTTATAGTTACGTGAGTTATAGTTACATGAGTTATAGTTTTATATGTGATAGTCACATGAGTTATAGCTACATGAGTTATAGTTACATAAGTTAAAATTACATGAGTTATAGCTACATGAGTTATAGTTACATAAGTTAAAGTTACATGAGTTATAGTTACATGAGTTAAAGTTTTATATGTGATAGTCACATGAGTTATAGTTACGTGAGTTATAGTTACATGAGTTATAGTTACATGAGTTATAGTTACATGAGTTATAGTTTTTTATGTGATAGTCACAAGAGTTATAGTTACGTGAGTTATAGTTACATGAGTTATAGTTACATGAGTTATAGTTACATGGGTTATAATTACATGAGTTATAGTTTTATATGTGATAGTCACATGAGTTATAGCTACGTGAGTTATAGTTACATGAGTTATAGTTTTATATGTGATAGTCACATGAGTTATAGCTCCATGAGTTATAGTTACGTGAGTTATAGTTACATGAGTTATAGTTACATGAGTTATAGTTTTATATGTGATAGTCACATGAGTTATAGTTACGTGAGTTATAGTTTCATATGTGATTGTCACATGAGTTATAGTTACATGAGTTATAGTTTTATATGTGATAGTCACATGAGTTATAGTTACGTGAGTTATAGTTTTATATGTGATAGTCACATGAGTTATAGTTACATGAGTTATAGTTACATAAGTTATAGTTTTATATGTGATAGTCACATGAGTTATAGCTACATGAGTTATAGTTACATAAGTTAAAATTACATGAGTTATAGTTACGTGAGTTATAGTTACATGAGTTATAGTTTTATATGTAATAGTCACATGAGTTATAGTTACGTGAGTTATAGTTACATGAGTTATAGTTTTATATGTGACAGTCACATGAGTTATAGCTACATGAGTTATAGTTACGTGAGTTATAGTTACATGAGTTGTAGTTACATGAGTTATAGTTTTATATGTGATAGTCACATGAGTTATAGTTATGTGAATTATAGTTTTATATGTGATTGTCACATGAGTTATAGTTACATGAGTTATAGTTACATGAGTTATAGTTTTATATGTGATAGTCACATGAGTTATAGCTACATGAGTTATAGTTACATAAGTTAAAATTACATGAGTTATAGTTACATGAGTTATAGTTACATAAGTTAAAATTACATGAGTTATAGTTTTATATGTGATAGTCACATGAGTTATAGTTACATGTGTTATAGTTACATAAGTTAAAATTACATGAGTTATAGTTTTATATGTGATAGTCACATGAGTTATAGTTACATGAGTTATAGTTACATAAGTTAAAATTGCATGAGTTATAGTTTTGTATGTGATAGTCACATGAGTTAAAGTTACATAAGTTAAAATTACATGAGTTATAGTTACATGAGTTATAGTTACATAAGTTAAAATTACATGAGTTATAGTTTTATATGTGATAGTCACATGAGTTATAGTTACATGAGTTATAACTATATGAGTTACAGTTCCATGAGTTGAAGTTACATCTTCTTCTTCTTCTTCACTTCCTCTTCTACCACTGTGGGTGTCGAGGGAGATGTAAGTTTACAGTCAGTTTATGTTTCCAGTAAGTTTAAATCTACATTCACTTATTCTAAATGACTAAATCTACATTTACTTATTGATATTGTAAATCGATTGTTATAGTAAATGTACTTTCATCACTGGTAGCAAACGCATGATCATTTGCATCTCATCTATAATCATTAGTTGTAAATCTGTACTTTCAAATAGGGAACATTTATTGTTCATTTTCTTTTTCACTTCATCTGTTACCGGTTCAGGTGGCCAGGAAGATATACAAGATTATGTTTCTAGCTTTTCTGGCAGTCTCGATTATAGTAGACTGGCATCTCGCTGTCCCTCCAGATGATAGCGTTATATTGGGCTATAAGGAGACATGTCTAGATAGCGTTATATTGGGCTATAAGGAGACATGTCTAGATAGCGTTATATAGTGCTATAAGGAGACATGTCTAGATAGCGTTATATAGTGCTATAAGGAGACATGTCTAGATACTGTTATATTTGGCTATAAGGAGACATGTCTAGATAGTGTTATATAGTGCTATAAGGAGACATGTCTAGATAGCGTTATATTGGGCTATAAGGAGATATGTCTAGATAGCGTTATATAGTGCTATAAGGAGACATGTCTAGATAGTGTTATATAGTGCTATAAGGAGACATGTCTAGATAGCGTTATATTGGGCTATAAGAAGACATGTCTAGATAGCGTTATATAGTGCTATAAGGAGACATGTCTAGATAGTGTTATATAGTGCTATAAGGAGACATGTCTAGATAGCGTTATATATTGCTATAAGGAGACATGTCTAGATAGTGTTATAAAGTGCTATAAGGAGACATGTCTAGATAGCGTTATATAGTGCTATAAGGAGACATGTCTAGATAGTGTTATATAGTGCTATAAGGAGACATGTCTAGATAGCGTTATATAGTGCTATAAGGAGACATGTCTAGATAGTGTTATATAGTGCTATAAGGAGACATGTCTAGATAGTGTTATATAGTGCTATAAGGAGACATGTCTAGATAGTGTTATATAGTGCTATAAGGAGACATGTCTAGATAGCGTTATATTGGGCTATAAGGAGACATGTCTAGATAGCGTTATATAGTGCTAAAAGGAGACATGTCTAGATAGTGTTATATAGTGCTATAAGGAGACATGTCTAGATAGTGTTATATAGTGCTATAAGGAGACATGTCTAGATAGTGTTATATAGTGCTATAAGGAGACATGTCTTGATAGTGTTATATAGTGCTATAAGGAGACATGTCTAGATAGTGTTATATAGGGCTATAAGGAGACATGTCTAGATAGCGTTATATAGTGCTATAAGAAGACATGTCTAGATAGTGTTATATAGTGCTATAAGGAGACATGTCTAGATAGCGTTATATAGTGCTATAAGGAGACATGTCTAGATAGCGTTATATATAGCTATAAGAAGACATGTCTAGATAGTGTTATATAGTGCTATAAGGAGACATGTCTAGATAGTGTTATATAGTGCTATAAGGAGACATGTCTAGATAGCGTTATATAGTGCTATAAGGAGACATGTCTAGATAGCGTTATATAGGGCTATAAGGAGACATGTCTAGATAGAACAGTGATGGCGAGGATCCTTGCTGCGTGTGGGTTACCAGATAGTGTTACACATATATTTAAAAGACTCTATGAAGTATACCAATGCAAAGTAAAAGTAAGACGCATGAAAACTGAATACGTCAGCGCAACATCAGGAGTCTGACGAGGGTGCATCGTATGACCTTTCTTGTTTCTTATAGTAATAGATTATGTGTCTCTGGGCTGACGACGATCGATTGTTAGGGAGGTATGGGACTCACAGACCATGGCGATGAGCAAGACTAGCCCGCGTTAAGAGAAATCCTTAACAACTGTAGCATGTGATTTCATGGCCGTTGTTGTCAACATTTTAGTTTCGTCTGTTAGTTCCCCGACTCTCAGCACTTATCATGTTTGCAATCACTTCTTCCTTCATTCTGATTCCCTTTCTGATGTGTCCCTCCACATAACACGGTCCATGGCATTTTGTTCCCACGAGTCCACCTCAATAACTGTATCATTCATGTTTCAGAGACCATTTATGGTCGAGGGATGAATCTCGTCCTCTGCCTAGCACCAAGCCTGGGCAGTATAGTAGAGACTCTGTGTTGCCCATTGTTGCGTGGATTCAGAGGGTTGTAACATTGTTGGGGACAATGTCGTGTAAATTGTGTTTTCGTGTGTCCGCGGAAATGTCTGGTGATCTGAGTCAATATTGGGTACAGTGTTGACTTAAGCCAAGCGATGTCAGTTCGGCTTGAGTCAAAATTTTTTACAAGTGGGTGTTGACTTAGGGCTGGACGGACCAGTGGATTCACGAAGTTGCCCAATTCGGGCTAAATATCAAACTTAGTGCCTGGATAGCAGCTATCGCACGGAAAAGAAGACAGGTGGTACGACAGCTCAGTCATATCTTACCAAGATCTGACATTTACATTATTGTAACAGCCACATTTATTCCTTTTTTAGTAAATCTATGTTATGCTCATTTTGACTAAAAACATGCTAACGTGCAATACATTTTGTTCAGTTAAAGTTAACATCTGCTCACGTGTAGTAAGTTATGTTCTCGTGACAGGTAAACATGATAAACCTTTTGTTGCACCTCGCCTACACTGTCGTCTAAATTATTGCATGATTCTATCTTGCCGTCCTCTTTTACCGCTTCGTGTGTCGGGTGAGACATAAGGTACCGCTTCGTGTGTCGGGTGAGACATAAGGTACCGCTTCGTGTGTCGGGTGAGACATAAGGTACCGCTTCGTGTGTCGGGTGAGACATAAGGTACCGCTTCGTGTGTCGGGTGAGACATAAGGTACCGCTTCGTGTGTCGGGTGAGACATAAGGTACCGCTTCGTGTGTCGGGTGAGACATAAGGTACCGCTTCGTGTGTCGGGTGAGACATAAGGTACCGCTTCGTGTGTCGGGTGAGACATAAGGTACCGCTTCGTGTGTCGGAGGAGATATAAGGTACCGCTTCGTGTGTCGGGTGAGACATAAGGTCCCGCTTCGTGTGTCGGGTGAGACATAAGGTCCCGCTTCGTGTGTCGGGTGAGACATAAGGTCCCGCTTCGTGTGTCGGGTGAGACATAAGGTCCCGCTTCGTGTGTCGGGTGAGACATAAGGTCCCGCTTCGTGTGTCGGGTGAGACATAAAGTCCCGCTTCGTGTGTCGGGTGAGACATAAGGTCCCGCTTCGTGTGTCGGGTGAGATATAAGGTACCGCTTCGTGTGTCGGGTGAGACATAAGGTCCCGCTTCGTGTGTCGGAGGAGATATAGGGTACCGCTTCGTGTGTCGGAGGAGACATAAGGTACCGCTTCGTGCGTCGGGGGAGACATAAGGTCCCGCTTCGTGTGTCGGGTGAGACATAAGGTCCCGCTTCGTGTGTCGGGTGAGACATAAGGTCCCGCTTCGTGTGTCGGGTGAGACATAAGGTTCCGCTTCGTGTGTCGGGGGAGATATAAGGTCCCTCTTCGTGTGTCGGGTGAGACATAAGGTGGTCCCGCTTCGTGTGTCGGGTGAGACATAAAGTCCCGCTTCGTGTGTCGGGAGAGACATAAGGTCTCGCTTCGTGTGTCGGGTGAGACATAAGGTCCCGCTTCGTGTGTCGGGTGAGATATAAGGTACCGCTTCGTGTGTCGGGTGAGACATAAGGTCCCGCTTCATGTGTCGGAGGAGATATAGGGTACCGCTTCGTGTGTCGGAGGAGACATAAGGTACCGCTTCGTGCGTCGGGGGAGACATAAGGTCCCGCTTCGTGTGTCGGAGGAGACATAAGGTACCGCTTCGTGCGTCGGGGGAGACATAAGGTCCCGCTTCGTGTGTCGGGTGAGACATAAGGTTCCGCTTCGTGTGTCGGGGGAGATATAAGGTACCGCTTCGTGTGTCGGAGGAGATATAAGGTCCCGCTTCGTGTGTCGGGTGAGACATAAGGTGGTCCCGCTTCGTGTGTCGGGTGAGACATAAAGTCCCGCTTCGTGTGTCGGGTGAGACATAAAGTCCCGCTTCGTGTGTCGGGTGAGACATAAAGTCCCGCTTCGTGTGTCGGGTGAGACATAAGGTCCCGCTTCGTGTGTCGGGTGAGACATAAGGTCCCGCTTCGTGTGTCTGGGGAGATATAAGGTACCGCTTCGTGTGTCGGGTGAGACATAAGGTACCGCTTCGTGTGTCGGGTGAGACATAAGGTACCGCTTCGTGTGTCGGGTGAGACATAAGGTCCCACTTCGTGTGTCTGGGGAGATATAAGGTACCGCTTCGTGTGTCGGAGGAGATATAAGGTCCCGCTTCGTGTGTCGGAGGAGATATAAGGTCCCGCTTCGTATGTCGGAGGAGATATAAGGTTCCGCTTCGTGTATCGGAGGAGATATAAGGTACCGCTTCGTGTGTCGGGTGAGATATAAGGTCCCGCTTCGTGCGTCAGGGGAGACATAAGGTCCCGCTTCGTGTGTCGGGTGAGATATAAGGTCCCGCTTCGCTTGTTGATGTTGCTATTAGTTTCGTTCCTAGGCCTGGCATCCTTGCTTATATTCCCAGTGTAAGTGATCAACAGTAGTGGTGGTAAGACACCTCCCTGTCCTACTCCAGATGTTAATTTGAATGGTTTAGATGTTCCCTGGTTTATTCTAGCTACCCTTCTACAGTCGCTATATAAGCTTTTGCAAACTTCGATGAGGTGTTCACCTACTCCATATCAAGCCATTACTTTCCATAATTTTTTTTTTTTTCTATCGACCGTGTAAAAAGCTTTCTCTTGCTCTAAAAATGCTACAAATAAGTTGTAATCATGTTCGATGTTCTTTTCTATTAACTGTTTAAGTGTGAAGATTGCATCTGTGCAGCCTTTATTTCTTCTTAAACCCATCTGTTCTTCTGCCAACTGTGGTGTCGCCGCCTCGTTTCTATTATCTTAGCTTACATTTTCCCTACATGACTTACAAAAATGATGCCTCGATATTGATAGCAATCTCGCTTGCTTTCCTTGTTCTTCCACCATGGTACAACTATTGCAAGTTGCCAGTCCGTGGCAGCAGTTTGTTGTACCCATGCATCACTGAATATTCTGTGGAGCCATCTAGTGTTGCTTTCCCCTGCTGCTTGGATGATTTATGTTGGTAATCTATCAGCACCTAGAGCTTTATATATTGGTGACTGCTTTATTACTTTAATTGCGATTCTATCACTAAGATTAAAGTTTCATACATTTTGAACAGATCTCATTATCTGTCTTCTCTCAGTGAATCTTAAACCTCACTGTCGTGACTTCCCAAACAGACAAAAGTCAAGAATGAACTTACTGGAATCCAGTTCATACTTCTGCCAGCTAAAAAGTAACCACCGACTGAGCCACGGTTCTTGCAGGATGACTGCAAAATGAAGGGAGAAACAAAAACATGTCACTGGTGTCTTTAACGTCCTGTATGATGACTGTAACATGAAGGCAGAAACAAAAACATGTGACTGGTGTCTTTAACGTCCTGCCTCTCTAAGGCGTATGTTATTACAAACCGGCTTCATATGGAATCAGTCAGTGGAAGTATCTTGGTGTGGGCGATGCCTCAGAGCGTTCACAGGACTGCCTAGTGTGTAGTCAAGTCACGTCAGTGGTAATAACATATCTTTTGGTTACAGGAATGCCTAGTATGTAGTCAAGTCACGTCAGTGGTAATAACATATCTTTTGCTAACATAATGCCTAGTGTGTAGTCAAGTCACGTCAGTCGTAATAACATATCTTTTGCTAACATAATGCCTAGTGTGTAGTCAAGTCACGTCAGTGGTAATAACATATCTTTTGGTTACAGGAATGCCTAGTGTGTAGTCAAGTCACGTCAGTGGTAATAACATATCTTTTAGTTACAGGAATGCCTAGTGTGTAGTCAAGTCACGTCAGTCGTAATAACATATCTTTTAGTTACAGGAATGCCTAGTGTGTAGTCAAGTCACGTCAGTCGTAATAACATATCTTTTGCTAACATAATGCCTAGTGTGTAGTCAAGTCACGTCAGTCGTAATAACATATCTTTTGGATACAGGATTAGGTCTGTCACAGGCTACATCCTGGACTAAGTCTGTCACAGCCTTCATCCCGGGTAATCTGTCACAACCTGGTAATATCTATTACTGCCTACGTCCAGGGTTGAGTCTGTGACTGCCTAAATCTCGGGTAAGTCTCCTATTGTCTACGTTCAGGGTTAAGTCTGTCACCGCCTACATCCATGGTAAGTCTGTCACAGCATATATCCTAGATTAAGTCTGTCATCGCCTCCATCCTGGATTAAGTCTGTTGCAGAATTCATCCAGTGTAAGTATGTCGTAGCCCACATCTATGGTAAATTTCTCACAGCCTTCATTCTCTGTTAAGCCTACCACAGCATATATCCAGGTTAAGTCTGCCATAGCCTGCATCCACAGTAAGTCACTTCATGTCTACATCCAAGACAGTCTATTGATTTCTATTTTCTAGGCAAACATGTAGACGTCTGCATCCTGTAAACAACAACGGAAGTGACAGATGAATGGGAAGGAGGATACGGTCAACATGACAATAAAAGAATATAACTGGAAGGGCGAGAACAACAAATAAAGGTGCAAACAGAAAATGTAAGAATTGTGAAGGAAGAGAACACCAAAAAAAAAAATAATAATAATAATAATAAAGTTGATTGCAATGATAAGAAAAAAATGGATCGAGTGGAGAAAGCTAGGAAGAGGCGAAAACGACTACCGAACCTCCCCAAAAATGGGGTGGGGGGTTAATTATTGACACAGAAATCGTAGTCCTGACAGACACAATACACAAGTAAAGATAAGTGTGCACTTGAACTTATCAGGGACAGCATTGAGGAAGTTGTTGATAAGCAACGTGACCTGAAAGCCCAGCACGTTATTGTCCCTAAAGTTTGCAGTCTCAAACCTATCAAGGGGAATCTGGATCTTGATCCATCCACTATACAAGTTATTACATGCAGAGAGTCTGTCTGTCTGTCTGTCTGTCTGTCTGTCTGTCTGTCTGTCTGTCTGTCTGTCTGTCTGTCTGTCTGTCTGTCTGTCTGTCTGTCTGTCTGTCTGTCTGTCTGTCTGTCTGTCTGTCTGTCTGTCTGTCTGTCTGTCTGTCTGTCTGTCTGTCTGTCTGTCTGTCTGTCTGTCTGTCTGTCTGTCTGTCTGTCTGTCTGTCTGTCTGTCTGTCTGTCTGTCTGTCTACCTGTCAGTCTGCCCGTCTGCCTGCCTGACTGCATGTCGGTCTGATGCAAATGTATATAATTATACAAATTATCTGTCTGTCTATCTGGTCACACAAATCTCATAAAAACACACACGGAACCACAAGCTATACGCCCCCGCGCGCACACACACACAAGCTATACACGCCAGCGCGCACACACAAGGTATACGCGCCCGTGCGCACACACAGATGTGGCTGGTTAATCTCCGATTGTTTGCAAACTTTGCTGATAGACCAGCGACACCTGGTGTTAAGTATAGCAGTAATATATTTGTATTGTTGGAATAGCTCCATTTGTTGCTTATACTCGTCGTTGACCCCACTGTCAGTCTCATAGTGTCAACATCGTTACAGTAACGTGTGAGACCATTCTAAGTTGATGTGTATAACAAGCCATACGAAGATGTTAGGACTTGATCGCAGACATATGAGCGGCAAACATAATATTTGACATTTCAAAGACTTGCTGGAACATCTCGGTGACAAATTTACACTTATACATTTGAACCATGAAGTTAGCTTCGGAACATGGAGCGACAAACTAGTTCTAGGACTCACGGACGACAAATGTATTTGAACCACAAACTCGTGCTTGGAAAGATGAACAACAAACTTAGAAAGTGATTTAAAAAAAAGGGGGGAGGGTGGGTATAGTTTGGGAGAATGAGTACCTCGTGTGTTCTAAGGTCAGTACTTTCACTGACAAGATAATGAGTTAATCTATACCCTAAATAACAAACGATCATTTATTAATTGCTTTATATCGCCTGCTGCGGGGAGGTATCCACAGAAACAATATCACAAGCCATTGGGTATCTCGGCAACACCAGTTGGTAAACAACAAATATCAGCAGCTGTTGACTGGCCACGTGTAAGTTCTCACATAACTGTTGAGTATGAGCAAGCTCCAAGCATTCATAAATATCTCTACTGACTGCTGCCTGATTTAATATTCACCCAAAGTTCTTGTACATGTTTGATGCCGTGTGCACTGTTAGTGGTCCCTCTAACCTTCTTGAGTTCCTTTCCGTTTGTGGTTTCTAGTATCCAGCTGGACAAACAATACACCAGCATATCACATTGAGTTGTACCAATTTCTATACAGTGTTTTACTGAAGATTGTACAGAATATTGATTACTGTTTAACTAAACGCAGTACAAACTGTAACAGAAGTGTTCAGCTGAAGAGTACAAATTTCAAAGCTCGCATTTAACTATTGCACTTTTCTGTCGCTTTTGAAAGATGTTTTTATTGTGTGTCATATCCTAATTTATACGGACGGATCAGCACAAAACGCAGGCAGACACAGAAATGTAGACTGGGCATCCACGTAATACCAAAATACCGCCAAAATACCCATAGGAAAGCACGGTCACAAACTTTGATGCAGAAGTTCAAGCCATCAAAATAGCAGCAGAACAACTGTTAAATATACGTCATATTTCACAACCAGTGGTATTTCTGACAGATGCAAGAGCGGTGCTTCAGGCACTCCAATCTGGAAAACTACCTGGTATACAAACACTACTCTCCAAACTAGGCAGCTGGTGTAAGGTAAATATGCAATGGATACCATCCCACTGTGGAGTCTCCGGAAATGAGAGGGGTGACAAACTAGCTAAGAAAGGTGCAAATGCAGAACAACCTGACGCACCAGTCTCTTTTCAGCCAAACAAGAGAATTATCAAATCAATCAGAAAGCCCCCAAAACCGGCACAAGACAATCGGCATTTTATAGAAAAACCACAGCAAGTCATTATTCTTCGCCTAAGAACAGGACAAATCGACTTCGCACCCACAGGAACACACAATTTAAAATCAGCGAACCATAAATGTGCAAATAAAGACTGGCATCTGAGACAACAGATAATGTCCCAAATAAACATATCAAGGCAAAACTTTTGGCCAAGAGAAACATCGTGGCAAGTCAAACTTTACGGCTCGCTGAGTGAATTACAAAAGGCAGTGAAGTTTATACTAGAGACAACATTGCGGATATAGAAAATTTATTTCGAGCGAACTAAAGAAGAAGAAGAAGAAGAAGAACAAGAACAAGAACAAGAAGAAGAACAAGAACAAAAAGAAGAAGAAGAAGAAGAAGAAGAGAAGAAGAAGAAGAAGAAGAGAGAAGAAGAAGAAGAAGAAAGAAGAAGAAGAAGAAAGAAGAGAAGAAGAAGAAGAAAGAAGAAGAAAGAAAAGAAGAAAGAAGAAGAAGAAGAAGAAGAGAAGAAGAAGAAGAAGAAGAAGAAGAAGAAGAAGAAAAGAAGAAGAAGAAGAAGAAGAAGAAGAAGAAGAAGAAGAAGAAGAAGAAGAAGAAGAAGAAGAAGAAGAAGAAGAAGAAGAAGAAGAAGAAGAAGAAGAAGAAAGAAGAAGAAGAAGAAGAAGAAGAAGAAGAAGAAGAAGAAGAAGAAGAAGAAGAAGAAAAAGAAGAAGAAGAAGAAGAAGAAGAAGAAGAAGAAGAAAGAAGAAGAAGAAGAAGAAGAAGAAGAAGAAGAAGAAGAAGAAGAAAGAAGAAGAAGAAGAAGAAGAAGAAGAAGAAGAAGAAGAAGAAGAAGAAGAGAGAAGAAGAAGAAGAAGAAGAAGAAGAAGAAGAAGAAGAAGAAGAAGAAGAAGAAGAAGAAGAAGAAGAAGAAGAAGAAGAAGAAGAAGAAGAAGAAGAAGAAGAAGAAGAAGAAGAAGAAGAAGAAGAAGAAGAAGAAGAAGAAGAAGAAGAAGAAGAAGAAGAAGAAGAAGAAGAAGAAGAAGAAGAAGAAGAAGAAGAAAAATAAGAAGATACATCAATTAAGCCTGATGCCTGAATGTTCAGTTACAAACGACAAGCACGTCGTACAAATCAGAATGGCTAAAAAGCCACTAACGAACAAATAAGAAATTCATGATGGAAAATAAAAGTGGACACCATATATTTCAATAACAACTCGTGAACGGTACAATATTGTAACCAGTCTTCAAGCAGTAGAAAGCTCTCACAGCCGAAAACTTGTCTGATCTTATAAAACAATCAGTTAAGCGTAATGTAACTTCAGTCAATTGACTGGCTGATCGCTTAGTTTTGATTGACTTGCTGCGTTGTTATTGATACTTTTTCTTCGTCTTCTTCTCCTACCTTCTTTGCATCCTCACTCCCTCTTCCTACTCCTC